TACTTTATAGAAGAGGGGAAAACATTTCAGACCTCAATACTTTATTGGATTATTTTTTTTTAACTTTTTTTTATTATTTTAGAATATAAACTTCTCAAAATGTGTAGGCAAGCTTTGTTTCGCTGTGTCTGGCCTGTACTGAAGGTAAATTTTTCCTGGATTGAACAACAAAATACAGCAGTTGTTTGTTCTATTTATTTACACACATGGATAACATCAATCGGTGACGTCATTGCATCAATATAATGTTCCCCAAAATCTGATCCTTCTGTTCCAGCACAAACTTGCATTTGATGCCCCAATGTAGGGTGCCAGAATGAATCACTTGGAATGAGATGAAAACGAGTATGTACAGACTATAACTGGTCTGCGGACACCGAGTCATGATGGTCAAAATAAAAATTGTCTACCATAGAAATTGTTACTAAAATAAACGAGCAAACACTAGACTTGTATTAAGACAATATTATTCATAAGATAAGGAAACTAAACAATGCAACATACAGCATCTAAAACTCAAGAAAAAACCCAACTGTTTTTGATATTTATAGTAAGAAATGATGGGAACAAATGTGAAAATGAATTGCCATAGTTAAAATGAGGACAGTAGTATGACATCTGGAGAACTGCCTGATAAGCTATGTAACTCTACACGAGAACCGGTACTGGTATTCTGTGGAAAGCCGAGTCCATGTAAATTACACCAGTACATATTTTCTGTGTAAATTGGCAGCTTTGTAAGTTCTGGTCAGTCTCCGGATCAATCATGGGAACGACTTCTTGATCTATGGGGGGTCCTGGACCTTCGGATTGGGCTCCTTGTTCTGTGAATGACAAACACAACCATGATTTATTAAATAAATAAAGGTACGAAGACAACAATATTATGATTGTACAGTTTAGCCAGGAACACTGCAGGTAATCATCCCATCAGCTTAATTCCTTTTCAATGTAGACATGGATCTGTGAACTAGGATAATGGTTTTGTATTGACCAAAATGAAACGGAATCACAACTGATGTACTAGTAATAAATATAAACTTCATAATAACACTAGGATCATGTACATGTGTGGGCATGCTCTTCAGACTAACATCCAAGCAATGCAAGAACTGCAGAACATTAAATATTTTAACTTTATATTTACTCAACCTATATACCAGCAGGCCACCTGATTATCGAACATAAGGTGGACCATAATCTTGAGCCAATAGCTCAAACTTCCCTTTGTACATGATCCTATGACAATGTTCCCTGTTTTACGACTCCTGGTTGTAACAGATTAAACGAGAGCGGTGTGTACCTGCTTCTAGTCATGCTGCGCTTCTTGTACTTTGGTGAACGGCTGCGTGATGGGCTCCTCGTGTAACTCCTACTCCGCTTACCCCTTGGACTCCTTGATCTCGACCGTGACCTTGACCTATACAAATCAACAACTGTCTCATTACTCTGATCAATATGTAGGAATTCACTCGACATTAGTCATGATCATGCTTTGACATGACAAAATCTCTAAAATTCTTCCTTTGTAAAGGAAACAACTTAAATATCTAACAACCATCACTGGAAAGCTAGAAAGTATTTGAAAATTACCTGGGTAGTACACACGGAAAAGATAGCAAGGAATTCACATTTATTATCAAAATGTGAGGGTGTAATTGAAATTCTGTCACAAAATAACTCAAAGATTCAATTGAACAGATAGGCAAAAATTATTAAGAGAAATTACATACAAAAATGTTTCATATAAACTTTTTTTCTCAAAATTAAATTAAGGTTCAACATTTCACTTGAACAGGTAGCCTTGCTTAAACGTTATTTTAATATATATAGCGTACAAATCATATACCTACCTAATTATAAGACAATTTGTTTGAACAAAGTATAGAATATCATTCTGTTATCAGTTCTGTAAAAGAACCTTTTCTTGTCTTTTTATTTGATAAACACCAATTTTGTAAAGGATTTACCTTCAATGATTTATAAATATGAATGTAAAATCAGAATTTAATTTTCATTTCTTGCTAGCAGGGTAAAATAATGAGTTTAGTAAGAAAAATATCTTTACTGTATTTAAGTACATAGTAACTCCTATTTTCACTTTTACATATTGCTTTTCATTGAAACCATTTTAGAGTGCAAAATGTATTCAGCAGGGATTTGGGTGTTATGTTTGAGAAGGTGTGAGATCGATTATCGGTAGTAGATGAAGGGAGATCTAAAAGGGATGATCAAGAGGTACTAGTCCTCCCTTATACACAGAGAGAAGTGACACCACCAGCATGGTGATTTTATCACCGAACAAGTGGAAGACCTGAGAAACAGCGGCCAAACTCACTCTGGGACGAAAGATTTCAGTGTGAGGTGCTCTCAAACTCTGGGATGAAAGATTTCATTGTGTGATGAACTCTAGATCTCAATCTCTGGGACGAAATATTTCATTTTGTGACAATCTCAATCTTGCTGCTAAGCTGGGAGGAAGAATCTATCATTTTGGATGTGTTGGTCGAGAATTCTAATTTCAATATCTGACGCAGCGTTGGCCGACTCTCTTTCTCACAGTAGAAGAAGGGAGAATATCAATCGAAATCGTGCCGAAATATCTGATGACGGAAATCGTGACGCAATATCTGATGACGGCCGAGTCGGATGGTTGTTGGTCATCAACATGAATGTGTTTGGCTAGTAGATCTATCTGAGTTAGGGGTGCAGCACAGAGGTGATGCAATCTATGTTGTACCCAGTTGCAATCTAGAGCTCTGCGTGTGTTGATCATAGAAGTGGATATGGTCTGCAAAGCATGTACAGGGATCAAATCAGTTTGGTTTGAAATCAAGTCATGCATAACACACGCATGAACATATACATAACATTTGCAGAAATGAAACTTCTTGTTTGAAAAGAAAAAAAAAAAAATTATTGAATTGTTTCAATAAAATGTCTTTTGCTAAATAAAAAAGCCTCTATTCAAACGATAATTTTTGTTTTAGAATACTTTTTTTAATTGATAGAGATATATTGTTAAAACCTATTTCATGACCTTGAGATCAAAAGTCAGAAAAAATGTAGCTGACATAATAGGAATTTCTTTTATCAAATGTTTACTGACTGGAAAAGCGAGAGAAATATTTAATCAGTACAGTTAGGGTTAAGCGCATTGCTGATCAGTATATGGAAACATGGATCAAGTATACAGGCAGTCACACAACAAATTAGCAAAGAACCAGTTTTAATAAATCCGACTGTGATTTTCTTAGTCATGTTTGATTTTACTAGTATTGTATATTCAAGTAAACATGTTTTATAAGACAAAAAA